GTGAAGTTAGTGGGAGCATTGTGACAAATGGAGAGTTGAATGCAACCCAGTCTCAATTGCAACCACTTAAAGAGACGACACCACCATTATCTCATTCGAGTGGGAGCGCAATGGAACAGGGGTGAATCATCGGAGTACGACATTCCATACGACAGGTCAAGTCGTAATAGGATTCCCCGTCGACGTTTTGACATTGAAGGAGAAGCTTTCATGATCGCCCCACAAGATGAAGATGAGCCGAAGAATGTGAACGATGCTCTAAAGTGCCCTGATAAGGAAGAATGGATACATGCAATGGAAGAGGAAATGGAGTCATTAAGATCAAACCAAGTTTGGGAATTGGTTGACCTTCCAAAAGGACGCAAAGCCATTGGGAACAAGTGGGTTCTCAAAATAAAGCGTAAGGCTGATGGCTCAAAAGAGAGGTATAAGGCTCGCCTTGTGGCGAAAGGATATAATCAACAGGAAGGAGTTGACTTTGAAGAAACTTTTTCCCCTGTGGTTAGATTTACCTCTATTCGCCTTATTCTGGCAATAGTAACTAGTATGGATCTTGAATTACATCAAATGGATGTAAAGACTGCATTCCTCAATGGAGAATTAGAGGAAGAAATTTATATGGAACAACCTGTTGGTTTCATTACAAAAGGCCAGGAGCACAAAGTGTGTCGACTATTGAGGTCGATATATGGCCTTAAGCAATCTTCGAGACAATGGTATATACGTTTTCACAATGCCATAATGGCATATGATTTTGTAATGATTAGTGAAGACAATTGTGTATATATCAAAAGATCCAAAGATCAATTTGTGATCTTGTCATTATATGTTGATGATATACTAATTGCCGGAAGCAGTATGGAGTTGGTTAATACAGTCAAGAATTGGTTATCTTCCAATTTTGAGATGAAAGATATGGGTGAAGCTGCATACATTCTTGGAGTTAAGATTTCGAGAGATCGCTCAAAGAAATCCTTATCCCTTTCACAAGAGACGTATGTGAATAAAATCCTTGAGCGATTTCGTATGCAAGACTATAAACCAATAGATACTCCTATTGCAAAGGGCGAAGCATTAAGCGACAGAATGTGTCCTAAGACTTCACAAGAAAAGGAGCAAATGGAACAAGTTCCATATGCTAGTGCTGTCGGAAGCTTGATGTACGCTATGATGTGTACAAGACCTGATATTTGTTATGCAGTTGGAATGGTAAGTAGATACCAATCCAATCCAGGTCAAGCACATTGGATCGCCGTCAAAAGAATCCTGAGATATCTAAAGGGAAGTGCCGACTATGCGCTGACTTATCAAGGAAGTGATCTACACCTTGAAGGCTATACTGATGCTGACTGGGGAGGAGATTTAAAAGAAAGGAAATCTACTTCTGGATACGTGTTCTTACTGAATAATGGCGCCATATCTTGGAGCAGTAAGAAACAACAGTGTGTAGCCTTATCTACAATGGAAGCCGAGTTCGTGGCTCTATCAGCAGCGGCACAAGAAGCTGTTTGGCTTAGAAGATTTTTGGATCACTTAGGTGTTACTGAGAATGCTGCAAACCCAGTATTGGTCTATTGTGATAGCCAAGCAGCAATAGCGTACACTAAGGATCCAAGTACCATGGAAAGACCAAACATATAGATATCAAGTATAACTATGTCAAGGACATGGTTGCACGAAAGGAAGTGAACGTGAAGTACATATCTACACAAAGGATGATAGCAGATCCTATGACGAAGCCGATTCCTAGAGAAGTTTTCCATGGTCATGTGAGATCTCTAGGACTGTGTAGAATATGATGTACTGAATATTGTAATTTTCCCAGAATGTTCACTATTAATGAAGTTTGTTATTATCAATGCCTATAAGTTTGTATGACGTTTGTGAATGTCGATGCTGAGTGCATTATATTGAAAAGTTATGTCGGACAGATGAGAGATTAGCCCACTCACACGGGTAATCGCCTCTACTCACTGTGTGATGAATAGAGATGAGACAGTTTTAAGCTTGTTATCTAGGTGATAATTGAGAGCTCGAGCTTGAAGCATGGACGTCGCCTTAACAAAATGTTAAGATGAGGACATATGGATTATTATGTCCGAAAGTGAAATGACCCACATATTTCACTTTACCTGTCTTTAATGCCAGATGTGAGTTCTGATAGATGCTTATGAATAGAGTAGATTGGTGAACTCAAGTTAGACATTGAGTATGTCTAAACTATCATCTGTACGGTATTGAGAGTAAAGACATACGCTCTATGGGAAAAGGAGAGAATACCGTAATACGTATTTCATATTACGTATGCATGGGACGACCGATAAGAGTTGGCAAAAATTTGTGATCTCAATTTTTAAGTCGTGTGAGACTCTTGAAGAAAATAGTTCTTCTCAATTAAAGTGCCCTCACGACTCTTACTTATTCTCAAAATTTCTATTCAGTGTTTGCTATCTTAGGATGTTGCCGATGATCATGATAATTCGGTCTAACGGGGCATTTCTAGAAAAGCGAGTTGGACTGAAATGGAGAGGTTTAAGGAAAGAGGAAGATCAATTTAATTTATGATGTCACATTCTATATTTGTATTCACAGGTCGACCAATTATGATTTTGAGTAAATCATAGTTATGAATACAATATACGAGATACTAAAAGAGATCAAGAGAGATGAAAATTGTGACTGATTGATCTAGGGAACTGCATACTAATTCTACTCTGGATAATGCCCAAATTTGAGCTGTTATATATTCCTAACAGATGTATAACAACGAGCTCTCGTAGTATGCTGGTCGCACGGATTATTTGCCAATATGAACTTTGCAAGGAAGAGAGTTGTGTTTAGCCCATCGTGGGCGAGTGGGAGATGTAAGACATATTGGGTGGACCGCCCAAGATGGGCCAAACCCGGCCCGTGAGCCACAAGGGCCCACGAGGTAGTTATTTGCCTATCTATAATAGAAGGCACCCCTTGGAAAACAGTAGTGATTTTCATATGTGCAAACACACTCCTTCGATAACAACGCATTCTCTGTTTTTGCTTCGGAACGCACGTGAGTACGAAAGACATTCGAAGAACTCTCAAGCGCAAAGTGGCACTTAATCTGTGACAATACCGGGTATGTTCGTTGTGTGATATACCTGTACGATCGGTGATACAAGTTGACGATCCTTGGGCACGTTTTCCGCATTGATCGAATTCGTTCCGAATATGTTTCAAACGTGAGGATCGGGAATTGAGTTTTCCCAACACAGACCAAAATCAGTTCGCTCAAACAGACCGTTTTGTCCTCAAAATACATTTATTTCAACATCCAGATCACATTGAAAAGCTTTGAAATTTTTATATGTTATACCCACAAATGTCCCCAACAACTTTTGTGAAGTAAGTATTTTGAAAATAGGCCTGGAAAAATTTATAAAAATTCGAACAGACCCAAAGGTCGGGTGAACAGTAAATCGGGCAGTTTTATTTCGGTCCAAAGATGGGCTTACGAATGGCATCAAATGATTTCTAAAAATTCCCAAATTAAAATATGTTATACTTCAAGATGTTGGGAACAACTTTTATGAAGAAACCTTCCTCAAATTCGGGCCACACAAGTCACAGTAAAAATAACAAAAACCAGCGATGCAGCAGCAACCTAACTGGAAATCAGCCAACACGCACCACCGAGCAAACCAGCCACTAAACTCACCCTAAACCGGGCCCTAAACAAGCCTAACAATACCCGAGGTCCTAGGCGACATTTGGGGAGGTCACTTACCTAAGAAAGGCGAGACGAACGGGCTGAATGGGTGGCTGAAATGGGCAGAACAGCAGCAGCAGCAGCCATGGTGATGGGAGGAACAAGGATGAAGAGAATGAGAAAGAGGGAGAGAGAGAGAGAGAAAAAAGCTGATTGTGGGGGTTCTGGCCAGAATGGGGAGGAAGAGAGAGAGAGGAGGTTCAGCTGGTAAAAAATAGTGGCCTAGGGGCGCCACGTGTCGCGATCCTACGCGATTTGACCAAAATACCCCTAATCTAACGGTTCTAAAGAGATAGGATCAAATAATTGAGGGGTAATATCATCTTTGGCCCCTAATAATGCAGCTGATAATTATCCATAATTATCCCTAATTATTTCCCAAAATTCGGAACTGAAACGGGCCCAGGGGCAAAACCGTCATTTTTCCGGTCCCGGGGCGAAATTCCAATTTTTGCACATACGTGTTCCATATGTGCGTGGCCAACATAATGTGGTGTCGGAATCGCGAAATTCATCGCGCAAGCCCTCGAAAATTGACTGCAAAGTTCCGGGAATAAAATAATATTATTTTTCTAATTTTTGTCAAAATTCCAATTTTTGTCCGAAACCACTCCAGATATGCGTGGCCACCCAAAAACGGCATCGGCCTCGAAAAATAACCTCAAACGGCCTCAAAATCCAACATCGGTGTCCATAGGGGCAAAATCGTAATTTTCCCGGTCCCGAACCGAAATCCATTTTTTTGCAGAAATGGTTGGCCCCAAGATTGGCCAAGCCAAAAACGTCATCGACCGTCCAAAATTGTCACTTTCAAAATTCTCGATTCCCGGGCCCGAATTCCAAGAAATGACTAAGATCGAACAATCGCGACTTTAGTTTATCTCAAGCTAACGGGTGGCTCATTGGGATTACGCGCTCTTGACCCGTGACCGATACTAAGTCAAATCACGTTTAAGTTTGCTCGAGCCAAGGCGACCTCGATTGTCATATAATTGCGAGGGTCTGTCGCTAGTTCCCTTCGGACACGATCAATCAAATAGACCGGTCTCGGTTGGCTCAAAACATTCCCTCGTCAATCCATATGGCCGAAGATCGAACCCAGGTCGAGTTCTTTGGTCGTGCGAACTCAGTCCCGTAATGGCCTTACCCATAAGGTTAGCATTCCGTGAATGCGCATTTCCGGGTGAGATCTCACTATAGTGCATTGATCAATATTAATTTCCTAAATCCCGGGAAAATGATTGAAAATTCAGACTGTTACATCGTTGGCCGTCCATGACCAAGCCACGACGAATCTCCATCTACGGTTGTTCTTCGCCCACCCCTTCGTCGTTGCTTGTAATCAGGCTTGACCGTCAATAGATTTGGAGGTCCATAGCCAAGCCACCCCTCCCTTCTTGCTCTGGCTCGCAAACAAAGCCACCCTTTGTCGTCGCTCGCGATCAGGCTCGTCCATCGGTAGATCGAAAAGGTCCATCTCCAAGCCACCTGTCCCTCTTCACCGCGACTCACAAATAGAGCCACCCTCGTCGCTCGTGGCCATATTCTTCTGTCACCAAATCTGGAGCCATGGCCATATTCCTCAACCTCTCGCCTTGCTTCCACCTTTGCTTCACAGCCTCCTTCGCTCCTTAGGGGCGGCAAAGGGATCAAATCTAGCAGTGCCACTGGCTAGATCTGGTGTGGCGGCTTGGGCGATGGTGATAGCTAAGCTTGATTCTCAAATAGCTAGACATCCGCAGAAATGAAGGCAAAGAGAAAGTGGAGAGAAAAAGAAAATCTATATTTTTTGTCATGCCCCAATCCCTACAAGCATGCAACATCCCGCCTAGGTCGATAAATAAGCGACATACCAGGACTTGTTACCGACCCAAAACAAACGAACTAAAGAGCAACACACGTGGAAGCAACTCGAACTCGTCATACAACATTCAATTAAATGGGATAGTAAAGAGACAATTGAAACATAACAGCAAAACACTTTATAAACATAAGGTTACTTACAATGGCACAAAATACAAGCCTTACTAGAGGCCTCTACAACAAACCACACATATTCAAAAAGGGTTGGGTGGTTGGGTTAGCCTAACTTCTTTACCAAAAAAGGGTGCTCAACAGACGGGAGCACTAAACCTATCAATCACTCCCATGATGCCTAGGCAGCGTCCTCGGATCGGACTTGAAGTACTCAGGCGAACCCGGATCAGCCATGTCGTCGGATGACTCGGGTTTGAATTCAACAGGCTCCGGCTCGGGGTCAGACTCCATAGGCTCCGACTCGGGATCCGAATCTTTAGGACCAGTGTCCGGACTAGTAACAACTCCTTCTGGTGGAAGGATCTCCATGGGGTCCCACCCTTTTACTCCGTCATCAGGGGGACCATAAAATCCATGGAGTGTACCAAACAACGCGTCCCCGTCTCGGTAGAACCAAGTCAAAAAGGTATGTGGTTTCCAAACGGTCTTGCCCTCATCTACCCAAACAGTACTAGCATGCCTAATGTAAACCCTATCTTCTCCCACCGGGTATTCCGTCAAAATATGCTCCATATGCATCGATACCCCAAAACGCTGCGGTGGACCGCTCAGGTTCATGGTCAAGGGTCTGAAAGGTTTGGGATACAATAATAAAAATGAATCTCAATAAGTAACTACCTAAGCCTCGCTTAGGCCAACGCGTACCTCTGGACAGTTCTAAACATGTAATTCTATCAATCAACGTGCACATCAATAACAGGTGTCCTCATCTCGCCTTGGCACATACACAAGTCCTGCATGTTAGTAAATCGCCACAACATGGCAACCACTCATCGAACATAATAACCCGAATCGAGGCAAGAATATGCATAGCACACTTACTAATCTAGACATGCCCAACATTAGTCTTAAAACATGGCATTCCATAATGCATATCGCACTCACTAAGCCCAAATTATTAACGGCTCCATGGGCTCCCCCAAACGCATAATGCATAAAGCATCAGGTTATCGGTCTTCCGGCATAACCGGGCATTGTCCCGCTACGTCGGTGACGGCAACGTCTTATGTTACATTCATCAAGACGGCATTCCGTGAGGAGCATCAATCTGGCCTCCACCGCGATTGGCATCTGGCCCCAGCCGAGCATCCGATAAATTGGGAATCGTCTCGCATAAAACGCATCAAGATGGGTTACATCCCTGCGTAATATGCCTTAGGATATTATATGATCACACGAACATTCAAGCACTCAAATCAATTCTCATATTTTCGATTAGTCAAATGCTACTAAGTCCTTATTCATCTAACAACAAGCTGCGCCTCTCATATGCAACAATAACACCGAATAGTCCCTGAGAGAGAGAAAACCGAATTGCATAGAACCGGGGCTAATCTGGGCGGTTACACAGCGACCGAAATCCTTTCGAAATAAATAGTAATTCAACTCCAAAAATTATGAATTTTGGATATATCATAGGAAACATCTTGGTAAATTTTTTTTATGAGAACATGAAACCCATTTTCGACTATAAACACTTGTTTTTATCACTCGAATTCAGACAGAAATCAGCCCGTCAGGACAGACCGTCCGTCCTTCAAAATGCATCTCGATCAGTACTCAAATCTCTTTAGAAAGCTTTAAAATTTTTATATGTCATATACACAAGTGTCCTTAACATTTTTGTGAAGGAAGTTTGTTGAAAAGAGACCTGAAAAAATTTATAAAAATTCGGAAAAATACGAAGGTCGAGTGAACAGTAAATCCGGCAGTTTGAGATGGTCCGAAAATGGCCCTCGGAATGCCCCCACATGATCTTAAAAAATTGCAGATTTAATTTATGTTATACTTCAAGATGTTAGGGACAACTTTCATGAAGAACACCACCTAAGATTCGGCTCACACAAGTCTCCACAAAAATGACAAAACACAAGGGCACAACAACAACCAAACTGAGAATCAATCAAGCAAGAACCAATCAACAACCAAACTCATCTAGCCACTAAACCATCTTTAAACAGCCCTTAATCAGTCCTTACACATGCCGTTGGTAACCCATTGTCCTAACCAAGGTTTAGGGAGCACTTACTAGAAATCCTAAGCAAAGCCAAGCCAAGAAAGCAGCTGCTCCGGCGGTCGGACGAGAGGCTCAGCAGCAGCGCTGGTCACGGGCGGGCCACAGCTGGGATGACCACGGGATGGTGGTGACGGTGAGGGGTGGTGCTAGTCTCAGTTGGGGATGGTGGTGACCGAAAATGAGAAGGAAGGAGGGAGAAAGAGAGGATGGTGGCGGTGAGCAGTGGCGGCGGCCGACGGCTGTTCCGGCGTGTCCCCGGCGGCTGTACGGTGGCTGAAATGGCTGAGCTGGTCCGGCAAGGTGGAAGGGGAGAGGTTTGGCCAAAGGGGATGAGAGCAAGGGAGGAGAGAGTGAGGGAGAGAACGAAGGAGAGAGTGAGAGACTTGATCATCTACTAACTCCACTAACTCACAAAACCCCATTACCAACCCCACTATTATCCAAAGGTCTAGAATCCTTCCCCTTCCCCAAGCCAAGATCCAATAGCTCACAAATTTTCTCTCACTAATTACTCAAAAATAACAAATAGCAAGAAAATAAATAAGCAAGGAGAGGAGGGGTAGAATGGTCCATTAGTTTCGGCCAGTGGAGGGAAAATACTAAAGTCCAAGTTGCCCTTCAACCTTTCAAATGAATTCAAATGGTCTTTTCCAATACCCGGTCCAAATTACACTTTTCCGATAAATCCGAGCGATCTAATAGTTGGGCACACTTAATAAGACGACGTCCGATAAATATTCGTGGAATCTTGAAAGTTCGACATCCCATTCCGGATTCTAATTCATGGCTAAAACCAATCAATCGCAACTTTAGTGTATCTCAAACTAACGGGCGGCTTTTAGGAGTTATGCGTATCGACCCGTGGCCGATTCGATATCGAGCCACATATAAGTTTACTTGGGCTATGGCGACCTCGGATGTCATGTAATTGCGAAGGTCAATCACTAGTTCCAATTGACGCGGTCGTTCAAATTCGATTTGGGATCATTCAAAATTCATACAATGTCAAGCAAAATCACTCGCGATCCTACTGTATAATATTTGCGAATCATTCCATAACTATCATTGGATTGGTCTATAATGGCCCAAAATATCTACTCGTCAATTCTTATGGTCGAAGTGTCGATCCATGGCCAAGTTCTTAGGTCCATATACTTGATTCCTAGCTAGCCATTCCCTAACGGTAAGTCTTCTCAAGAATGATAAATTCCGAGTGAAATTTAACTAAAAATTCATCGAAGATATATATATTTTATAAATCCCGAAAATAGGTCGAATTTCAGAATGTCACATTTTTAATATTTATTAATTCCAAATTAGCATTTACATGCCTAGCTTTAATTGGATGAGGTAAAAAAAAACACCCACGTAAGAAAATGACGTGGTGCTATGAAACCACTTAACCATGTAACTTGTATAGATGTCCCACGGCTTCTCTCCTATCTCTCTCTCTCCCTCTCTCTAAGAGCACAAGCAAGTAGAGCATCAATGGCGGAAGTAGAGAAGGCAACCACTGCGACAGTCCAAGCCATCGCCCATTCCAAGCCGCCCCAAGTCCCTCCCCAGTACATCCAGCCCCCTCACACCCGACCCTTTTGCTCCCCACCCTCCTCCGCAGTCGCTGCCGGGGAGCCTTGAGGGCGACCCTTGCCAGCTCGGGCGAGGGCGACCCTAGCCCAGGCCGCGAGGGTCCAGCCCTCGCCCTCGCCGACGAGGGCCACGATGCTCTCGCCGGCCCTGGCCTGTGACCGATCGCCAACCATGGCCAAGAAAGAGAAGAAGAAAAAAAAATATTTAAATATTATTAATAAAAAGAAATTTTGTGCCGTTACTAAACGTATTTTTATTTTTTTTTCTATTTCAGGAATGAAAATTTTGGACCATTATTCAGTTCTCGAGCACGGAATAAAAAAGAATAATTTCTAAACAAAATCAATTCCTAAGCATAGAATCGATACCTTGCGCACCTTAGCCTGGTAACCTGTACAGACGTCCCACGGCTTCTCTCCTATCTCCCTCTCTCCCTCTCTCTGAGAGCACAAGCAAGCAGAGCATCAATGGCGGAAGTAGAGAAAGCAACCGCCGCGAGAGTCCAAGCCATCGCCCATTCCAACCAGCCCCACGTTCCTCCCCAGTACATCCAGCCCCCTCACACCCGACCCTTTTGCTCCCCACCCTCCTCCTCCGCCGCCGCCGCCGGCATTCCCGCGATCGACCTCTCCGGGCTCGATCCGACCCGCCGGGACCGGGACCGGGACCACGTCCGGGCCGAGATCGGGCGGGCCTGCAGGGGCTGGGGGGCCTTCCACGTCACCAACCACGGCGTCCCCGGCTCGCTCCTCGGCCGCGCCCGCGCCGTGGGCTCGTCCTTCTTCGGGGATCTCTCCATGGGCGAGAAGCTCGCGTACGCCTGCGACCCGAGCTCGTCGGCGACGGAGGGGTACGGTAGCCGGATGCTCGAGAGCGACGACTCGGTGCTGGACTGGAGGGACTACTTCGATCACCACACTCTGCCTCTCTCCCGTCGCGACCCCTCTCGCTGGCCCAGTTTGCCTCCTGATTACAGGTTCTTGATGTTTTACTCTTTTCCAGTTCTATTCGTTTGAGGGTGTTTGATTTTTTCGATTCTTGGTAATGGGTTCGGTCTAAGAAGGAAATCTTGCGAAGTGTTTTTCGTTGGGTGTTGTAATTTGAGGACTGGTTATTGGTGGAGTAGTTGTAATGAGTGTTACAAAGATGATGGGTTGTTCTGGTGGATATTTGTTTGGGCAGAGAAGTTATGGCCGAGTACAGTGATCGAATGGGATCGCTGGCGAAGCAGCTGCTGGGCCTAATTTCGGAGAGTTTGGGATTGCCAACTTCGTGCATCGAGCATGCGGTGGGGGAGTTCTACCAGAACATCACAATTAGCTATTACCCTCCATGCCCGCAGCCAGACCTGACTCTTGGTCTGCAAGCGCACTCCGATATGGGCGCGATCACCCTTTTGATCCAGGATGATGTTGGGGGACTTCAGGTTTTGAAGGATGGGGAATGGATCACAGTCGAGCCGTTATCGGACGCCATTGTTGTCCTTTTGGCCGATCAAACTGAGGTTTTACCTTTCATCCGGAATTTTTATTGTCACTGCATTGCTTGATTCTCCATGCTGTTTTAAACAATCTAAAGTATTGATTCAAGAGCAGCATGCGATGAAATTCAAGCTCGTTAACTTATGTTGTGATATGTTATAGGTACTGTAGATGCTTGTTACCTTTGTAACAAATGATAGTCTTAACCCATCTGTGTTGCTCTTTTACTTCATTCTAGCGTGCCACTTTGCCAGAGTCTGGACTCTGAATTCAAGCCCCATCAATTCTCCTTTAACAAGAGGAGTCGATAGATGTTAAGGGGGGAGGGTTTAATCAATTTGATTCCTTATTTGCTATACAAATATTTAGTTAAAAATGCGTCAAAGTCCTTGGGGTGAGAGAAACTGGGAAGAAATGTTTTTCCAGGAGTAATCTCAATTAAAACTGCTGTGCCTGTGTGAGTGAACACTGTCTTTGGATTGCTCTATAAGTGATTGGGGTTTTTCTGTCAGTCATAAGGCATCAGTTTGATTTCCTCTGGGAAGTTGAACTGTAACAAATTGATTGCCTTTTGTATTAACATTGTCAGAGAGCCATCGACTGCCAACTGTGGTATATCACCCACGAGCTTTCATTCTTCCAACATATAGAACAGGTCCTTTTCGCTAGGTTTTTAGTTAGTGCTTTTGGGCTTTGATTTGTTCAAGGAGCCTGCAGCTCCCTCCCTTTACGACGATGTAGAGGAGGGGCACTTTTCTTTCTTGAAGTGGAGAGGGATGATGGGAAGCACTGCAAGGGGTTGTATTTGTGCTAATTTATGCAACCGCACACTCTGGTTCGTGTGTTATTGTTCTATGTAAATCATCTCTTCTACATCTCTACACATTTCCTTCTTCTTTTTCTGTCGGCCAGTGCACTACTGATTGTTCGACCATTATATTTAGCATATCAGCTAATGTTTGCTGGACTTATCTTTCAATTGCACTGTAATTACATTTCCGATTGACTTTGAACCATAATTATTTATGATCGAGCCAAGATTAATGCTCTGCCTGTAATTGATGCTTCTATCTGTTTTTATGTTTTCTATGCTAATATCAGTATAATCTTCTTGCTTAGTGCTTATATGTATCTTTCGGTTCATATTAATGGATTGATGTTAGAGTTTCATGATCAGGGCAAATCATTATTGTCAAGTAGAGCCATTTAACACTTTTTGACTCATTTCAGGATGCAAATTCAGAAACTTCTTATTCTTTTCGAACTGCTTAAGAAGAAAATAAATTCTTAAGTGCTTTTTTCTGGTTCTCCAAACCTTCTAACTACTATTCCAAATTTGCAGCGAATGCTTGATTCCCTAGCATCTGCTTGATAATTCAATTCCTTGTCGACTAAAGTTAGTGGTCTAGGTAATTTTCAGTACCTTTAAGGATTGCATTTAACTACACTTGCCAAAAGTAGCATAGAGAAAGATGAATCCTGTTACACTGTGTTACCCTATTGGTTTGGGGAGTCTGAAACTTGAATACACTATTCTTGACGTTGTTCTCCTGAAAAAGATGGGGTTGTCTTTTGCCTTTATTGTGGAATTTTTTTAATGTGTACTTGATATATCAAAGAAGTAGCTACATTACTAATACTGTCCTCATTGGTTACTATGAAGACATGAAAGGATGGAAACTCTGCCAGATAAGGCAAGTTTCTCCCAACTTTATGGTTTGTATATGCATATATGAAGCTGTTTTATTGTGATAATTGCTCTTTCATGCATCCCTTGAGTTTAGTACGTTATCATTAGTTGGTGTTTGATTGACGTCTTTTATTTTCGATACCTGAGTTAAACCCAGTGATTGAGCTCACCATAACACAACCCAATAAAACAACGATTGATAACTGAGTTTATTACCAAAAATTTGACTTCATTCTTACTCTAGCAAAATGATAAGTTGGAGCTACTCCTTGGGATTCTGATTGGATTGTCTTTTGTTTCAGATTATGACCAATGGAATCTATAGGAGTGCAGAACATTGGGCGATAACAAATGCGAGAAGGGCACGACTTTCAATTGCAACATTTCATGATCCTTCAAAGGCAAGGAAGATATCCCCTATTTCCGAGCTTGTGAGCGACTCTTCCCCTCCCCGATATCGCGAAGTTGTATATGGGGACTATGTGTCTTCATGGTATACCAAGGGACCGGAGGGAAAACGGAATATTGATGCACTTCTGCTCTAAGTCTCGCCTTACGGAAGATGCCCAGTAATAACCAGAGACATGAATAGAAGGAAAAGAGGGCATAGAGGAGGCCACAAATTGGTCGCTGCTTTTGTCCTATATGTCCACATGCAGCTTTCCAGAAATGGAACCGTTGACCAAGTAGACAGCAAAAATGTTGAAAACAATATGCGTCGCTCCTCTTGAAGGTTTGCTTTGTCCCTGGTTTTCAAATTCTTGTCAAAATGAGTATGGTCAATTGACTAGCCAACTTCTGAACACCCACGTTCTACTCAGGGGTACTCACAGATGACAATTCTATTTCAGTTATAAATTCAAGTTGTGGTAGACAAACAATGAACTTCTCTGGCATGGGCCATTGTAATTAGCTTAGGCAGAATGGTCTAGATATACATTGTCAAACTTTGGTTGAGATATGAATTCGCCAAGCTGACATGTCTCCTTCCATTAGCATGCAATTCTTTCTCGCTGCCTGCAGTGTCACATTGTGATGTCCGATGTTGACTGGCATTCCGCGGGTTTTGAAGTAGCCTTTTGACATCCTGGACTCTGAGAAGCTAGGGGGAGTGTCCTAAGTTTCGGTTAGCGCAGCATTGAAAGAAATTGTGTCTTCCTGTCTATCCTTTCATTATTTTGTTCCGACGCAGACCAGTAAGTGCATGGGCTGCTTTAGTCTCTGCAGTCAAATTGAGCCTATCGTGTCATGAGTTGTCCCAAATCTTGTCTTGGAATAAAAAGATTAGCATAATTAACAGAGGTTATAATGCGTCTTTGTCCTGGTTAATGCAACAAGAAAACCATCGTTTGGACATGTAGATTGAACACAGGACACACAAAAGCCGCGAGCTTTGGTAGAGAATAACGGGGAGACTTTGAAATCTAGCATAGGATAGCATCTTTATTGTTGTGCATCATCATCAGCAGGAGCATCAGCATCGAAGAATGTTTTAATAATTGCGTTGTTCTGACCTCTGCTTTGCCGTGAATTTTGTGCATCTTTGACTGCAGTCTGTGTGTAAAAGCCATGAACGAACATTGTCAATTGCCGCGACTCTGGTGGGGTAACACTTGTTTTCTAGAAAAGGTGGGAACCAACTGCTGAATTCATTAGTTGTCGAGAGGTGTTGACCGGGGGCACTGCTGTGATTTGGTGAAGATTATTCAAGAGCTGAATATGCAAATAGTTTTAGGTCATATTGGCAGTGGCACTTCTTGCATGTTCCGCTAATGGAACGTCTTGTCTAGAAGCTCGTAGGACATGAGGGGTAATAATCGAGTCAGGTAACTTGCAAGTGCCTTGGCCTCAGCTTGATGATTGCTCGAGATTGACTTGCCTAATTTTGACTGAGCCTCGAGTTTACTCGAGTAACTAGTCGAGTCAAGCTCGAGCTCGTTAATATTCAAGTCACGAGTCTGATCAAACTTAATTGAGCGTCTAATGTTTCTTTAGAAATATTAGTTGTAAAGTAAACACTTAAATCCTTGAAACGACATACTTCGGCCTGCTCACTAGTGGTGTATAAGCGACCCCAGCCGGTCGAGGAAACTACGCGTAATAGTATTCTAGCTTATTCAACTCGAGCATGATCTTGAGTCGATCATTGAGCTTCAGTATACGAGTCAAGTTTTGCGTGTTGAGTGTATGAGTTCAGCTCGAGCTCGGTAGCTTATCATCTAGCTTCATAAAAAGTGCTGACTGCTTGGTTCTTGAATTTGAGAGGTGATTCATAGTAGATTCATCTATAAACAGAAAGACTGGAACTACCCTGCTAATTTCATTGATAGAGAGTGAAATGTACAAAAATCAACCGCTTCTTAGAGATCAAAGCGTTGAGCCCAAATCCCAAAATCCTACATGTCTTATCTATTTGATCAAGGGACAACCCAATTACATTAACGCCCATTAAGATAGATAATTAGCTACTCTAAGTACTTTTTTTTTTTTTGGCTAGAAAGCTACTCTAAGTACTTACTAAGATACATAATTCTATTGTCAATTGCATGTTGTTGACAAGCTAGAAGCCCAGCATAAAATCAAAGCAAGAGCATGCTAAATTCTGTCACCGTTTATTGACAAAGTGATCTAATTCCAACCCAGCCTTTGAGCTCAAACATATATAAGAGCACCCTTTTGGACATAGTACAAAGATCACACACATCAAATTAAGAACACCTAATTTATACTATTGTTTAATTAGTTTCCACACCCATACAATCATCCTCTTCAAGCACACCCTTATGCAGTCCATGGTCTTGTACAATGAAGAATATAAAATCTATGACCAAGCAAGTCTCCAATTTTGCTCAGAAAGTTGCTTGTGGCAATTAAGCATCTTCTATACAATGACACCTCAATATATCCTTAATCTCAGCTTAACATCATCAAGAATTCATCTGACGACAACAACATGAACATGAACATGGACCCCATAAACCATATGCATATAACTTTTGTGAATTCAGTTTCAAATTACGAGGAAAATAAAAGACCCAAAGGAATTTGAGACGGGATTCGTAGCCCTAATTGATGTAAAATCTTGGAGAACCCCTTCAGCCGCTTTGGTTATGTCAATCGCGAGAGGAATAGGGGATTTAATATTCAAGTTCTATAGCATAGACAATACTCGATTCCATAAGAAGAGTAAATCGCACATCTAGCAAACCTTAAAGCAACATTTCAAAAACACACTTCATTCTTGGGTTCTTGGCAAGATGCTACTTGACTATTGATATCACCACCAGGACTGGAAATGTCAATTGATGTCTCGTGCAATGCTATTGGGTGCTCATTGTCCAAGTTCTTTTATTTTACTTTTTTCATTTTATTTTGAATTAGTTCAAATCCCGACACAAAAATCAGAAAGAGGCACGATTACCAAGAAGGCACAAATGATATTCTGAGCTTTCACATGTCATTCGAGTCCTTGCATAGCGTTGGCATCTGTTTAAGTCCTTGCAGTCAGACATCTACACCCAAATGGAGTTGATATATGACCCACCTCATACTGATAAGTTTTGCATGGACAGAAAAGATGCAATGATGAGCTAAATATAAATTATTGGATCTCTAGATTCGGCACAAATTACATATCTAAGTAACAGTGAGATTCGTATAGAACCTCGTATGAAAAGACACAGGCATATTCTCATATATCATGTACCATGTAAAGTTTTAATTGTATGCAAATATTCTTGTCAAAGTATCCCACATCGCATGCATTATACTAGAATCAATAAATCTCCTTCATGCCTGATGACTTGACCTGTTGAGCCGAACTTTTTAAGACGACGGTGTTGCTATAACTATCGGTTGATCATGGCCCATTTTATGATTCGTTTAATTTAAAACTTTTTTATCGAACTTTTTAAATTGAGTTTTCTAGAGAAAAACATGATTGAATCCCAACAATTCTTCCTCTCACAGCGTGCGCAGAAAAACACATAAAAGACTAGCAAACACAAAACTAGATTCAGTAAACACGACGCATCAACATATGTCCTGTATTTATCATGAGCCCTGAACAAAAGGAAATCAATTTCCATGATATCAAAACCTAACAGAAACCTAATAATCTTTCTCTAGCACGCACACAAGCATGCATCCACACACCGCGCCATACGCAAAGAAGAGACTCGGCAACGGCGAAACATCGATACATCATGTATCATGCGGCTCGTACGAATAGAGATCAATTCCGGCGAGATCAATCGCACAGCCAACATAAGGGACAAGTGACAAAAGGGCTAAAGGAAAAGAAGGCAACACGGCAAACTACTCGCTCAGAAAGTGATCCGGGCGTCGCTTAGGAAAACCCCACTCGGTAATCAAAGATGAAGGAGAGAGGAAGGATCGATCGATACGTACCCAGAAAGAGGCTTGACAGATGCATCTGCAGCTTGAATAGCCAAAGCTTCTCATTGAAAACTGTTGAGGGGAATGAAGCCTGGTCCGAAATCACCAATCAGTTTCCCATGAACGCATACGATCGAAGCTCGATCAACAGCCCCATGGAAAGAAAAGGGCAAGAGAAATGATCTCGAACCAGACAACATTCCCCTCAACCTAACTCATCATCTTCACATCAGAGAGAGAGAGAGAGAGAGAGAGAGGATTGATATGGCCATGCATTAGTTTTGGATTCTTTCATGGAGGGGGGGTCCATGAATATATACGTAAAAAGTGTGAAACGACATGGAAGTCCACTTTCTACACCGTCCTAATTTTACTTTTTTTTCACACGTAGGGTCAAAGAAGTTTAGTTAGATCTGTCCTAGACCAGCGATTCCTCGCTGTAGAAATAAAAAACCTCGTTCTCTAACTAGATTTGTATGCTCGAGCTTGCTTTTCAGCAGCCAGACACGGCTTTCCTGAGACCTTAATTAAGACGGCTGTCAAAAGTCAAACCTATAGAGCTAATCGCCTTGTCGCGAACGTCCAGCGTCAGCAGTCTCTTTGCTTTAACGAAAGAAGAGAGAGGCCAAGGTCTGAACTTGCGCGGGGGAGGTTGGCGACAGAAAGGCGCGAGATTCCGCTCTCCAATGAGCGGGCAAGGGTGCCCCCGCGAAGCTGAAGGGCTTTTATATTTTGAGCGTGTATTTTATTGATAGTTTAAGTTTAGACCTATGAATAGCTAATGTTGCCTATATATATTCTCTTTTTTTTATAATTGAAAGACGTAACATATATGTGCAAGGTGCTAATTATAGTGGAATTATCTACTCTACGTAATCGTAGTTTAAGGATGAGTTAGGATAAAATTTTGTGTCATGATTTCTCTTTCTCACATTTATTCTCTATTTCGTTTTACTTGTGCGCTGCATCCTAACAGAACTTTTGAGTGTTGTCGGAAGAGAAGAAATTTCGATTCACTGTCTCATATAAAAATTTAAAAAGAGAGGATAAACTCAACAAAAGAAATAACTTTAAAGAGTCGGTTACGCGATGAAGCATTTGATTTGGATACAACAGATGTCGGCGTCTTCCACTTTGAGTATTTCTCTTGCCGCCTTAAGGATGGAGCTTTACTCTTTACTTTGTGGGTGGAGCTTTACTCAATGCTAGTGATGCTTTGCTTCTTGTTGCTAGTTACTACTTGCTACTATACTTCAAATGTGGATCATAAATTGAAACCCTTTGGACAGTTTTAAAAGAATATGGACTTTCATTGTATTTACAACTTGAATTTAATACCATGAAAAACCCCAAACTAATATACATGTAACAAATTTACCCTAAACTAATTTTTTGACTACAAAAAACCCTAAACCGGTATATATACTTGTGACAAATTTATCCTAAACTAATTTTTTGATCACAAAAAACCCCAAACTGGTACATTTGTGACAAATTTACCCTCCGTTAAATTAGATTAATATAATGAAAAACCACAAAATAGTATACCTGTGACAAACGGAGGGTAAAATCCTAAACTGGTACACCCATCAACTATTACGTGTCATCTAACTCCTAACAATAAAATTTAACGGAAACTAATAGAAAGTAAAATTGTCATAGGTGTATCAATTTAGGGTTTTTTGTGATAAAAAAAAATTAGTTTTGGGTAAATTTATCACAAATATACCAGTTTAGGATTTTTCGTGATATTAACCCTCACAACTTCTTGTGAACCAGAAAATCACATTAATCCTCTAATTGGCTAAGTATATTTCCAGGATCTCTTTTAACAATTTTAATTCAACAGATTGACAATACGATTTTCCTCTCCTCTCAAGCAAAGGATAAGTCCTTTGCTTCCCACTAAGGTAAAGGAAGGCCCGACGTCCATTAATGATTGCAAACTTTGATTCCGATTGTTATTCAGTGTCCCGATGCGACGCCCATATCCGAAAATTAATTTAATCAATCCATTCCTTCTCCTATTAAAGCCAAAATTGGACCACCTTTACAAAAATGAGAATTTGAAAAAACAAAAAAGACAAAAGTAAAGGCAAGAAAATGTCAAAAAAAAAAAAGTTCTTAACGAGTTATTCAACCCTTTGAATATTGGTATATATATTTTTTAATAGACTCCCCAAATTTTTGCGATTGATAATTAGGATCTCTTGTGGAAAAGTGGCTAAAGAAGTGTGTCGTGGTATAAGAAGACCAAAATAACGAATTTCAAGCAAAGTCATGATTCCACAAAGAAGAGGAAGTTGGAAATTTTTCCACCATGGCCCCAGTGTCTACGCTTCAATGTTTCACATTTGAGATTATGGTCCAATCAAATCTACAATCATAAGACGGTGAGAAAGTGAATAAAGCATTTTTGGGTCCATATATATAATCATTTTGAGTACTTTTGTACTTTCTTCTCTTTGTGACAAAAGCATTAATTTTAAGATGTGAAAAGTGAATATTGATACGAATTGGATGGAGTATTTCTCATATTCTTGGCATTGTATGGTCATAAAAGGAAATTCGTAACATTGTCTATTGTTTTGCATGAAATTTTTGTTTCCATACATTTTTTTAGGGAAAATTCCAAAAGAAATCCTAAATTTTCCCCACGGGTCATCAATACCTCAAACTTTTTCAACTAACCAATGCCTAAAATTCACAGCATTGACCCAAAAATACCTTTTTTAACAGTTCTGCCCATAATGACCGTAAAAAATTCTATGTGGTAGCATGCGTGAACATTGCTATGTCAGATTTTTTTATGGCCATCATGGACGGACTTCTAACGGAAGGTGTTTTTGGGTCATTAGTACAAATTTGGAGTACTGGTGAGACAAAAAAAAAGTTTGGGATATTAGCGTCCCTCAAGAAAAATTTTAAGATTATTGGTGGAAATTTTTTTTTAGTGACTAACTCATTTTCATGCCATACATAATTTTGTTTTTTTGGTCGGTCATGCCATACATAGTTGAAGGTGTGTGCCTTTGGAGGTATTTTCGGATTGATTCGTTTTTACGGCTAACTTGTTTCAAAAGTTATTGAAGGGAACTGAAATATGCATTTCATGAACCTGCAAATGCACGGTGGCTTCAATGTATAGTGTGGACCAATATACGAGCTTCATGTTGGCGGATCTTTCATTTTGAAAGCACCTCGAAGAGTTTTATTTAAAGATTTACTATGTCTCTTGTTGCTCGATTTGCAAAGACAGCCTGAAAGTTAAATAGTCTTTCAGAGGAATAATTGTCCAATTGTGCCAATTTAGTCTTAAACATTTCAATTGTGTCAATTTAGTCCTACAAGTTTTGAAAATTTACCAATTTAGTCATAAACCTTTCAATTGTGCCAATTTAGTCCTAAACATTTCAAAAGGTTTAAAACTAAATAGGCAAATCATCAAAATGTTTTAATTGTGCCAATGCAGTCCTAAACCTTTCAATTGGCAATTTAGTAGAACCGACAACCAAATCGGTTCCCTTGAAAATCACCGGTTCTAGGCTAGTCCAGTCCGGTTCGGGTGCGGTCCGGGTGGTTCCCAGTTTCTTTGCACACCCCTAGTTTGTATTAGAGAATATATCTCTCAATAGCAAAGCAATTCCAAATTGTTCTTAATAAGAGAAGACCAGTCAAACAATTCTTGTACTCTTGGCTTGTGCAGCAACAGTTTCCAAAGTAGACAAACTCATTTTATCTTTCTTTGTATAGAGGATTCTATCTTTCCATGTATAAAGGCCGAAGCTCAGTAAAGTTATTCTATTACATTTATTCTAGCTAATGTCTTTCTACAAACCATTAGTTACCTTATACTTTTAAATACATGTAAGAAAAAATATTAAATTGTATCTTGTTCAATTCTTCAGTTTGGACACAAACAATTTATGAAATGTTACATCAATGATCGACTAATTAAAAAACCTTAAATAAGAGAAGTATTTTTTACCCTAGCACAATAGAATGTGTGCTTTATAAGTGTATAATTGTGTTTACTCCAAAAGAACAAGCATTTTTCCGTAAGTTCAATAGGGACGTAGGTCTTGTTAAAATTCACGTATTTATGTGTATTATATGTAAAGTACTAGTATTTTACTAACGGAATTCTGGATAATTTTGTAAAATAATGTTCTTGTTGCCATCTTTTATTTTTACTAGCAAAAGCGCATTTGCATTGCTGTACGCAAACAATTGAGCCAATTGGCATTTAAAGGATTTTTGCAAAATTGCCTTATTGCAAAATAATGGAGTTCTGAATTGATAAAAATGAAATTACTGACACGATGCAAAGAAATTATACACACACATAAGAAAGAGAGAATATGGCAAGATTTAAATTTTGTTTTGTAAAATTTGTTGCAAGATGAAAAGATTTAAATTTTCAAATTGACTACGTGAACGTTTAAAGAAAATTATTCTTTATACACTTGTACGTAGGTAGAATATCTATAAACTTAATAAATAAGAATCTTTTGGAAAAGAAGAAGAAAAACAGATCTGTGATGCTTTAGGATGTGCTCTTTGGTTTAAATAATAGTATAAATAGATTGTAGAAGTACTTCTATTATGTACTTTCATTCGTCGCACAGAAATTGTCACATGATTTTCAACCATTTGCAATTGAATCAATAAAAGATTTTGATAAGTTGTCGAGAGAAATAAATAAAAGATTCCGTAGAACCTACAAGGAACGTGGATTTTTGGTTATCGGCAAGGTATTTATTTATTTATTTATTACAAGTCTGAGATGTATACATGTTGTTGTGTATGTATAGAATAGAAACTGAAATTAATTTTTTAATTTAATTTAAAGGGCGAATTCACTTTTCTAACGACATATCCTTTCAAAAGATAGTCATGCGGTGAGTGGGGAGATTACTAGGTACCGACAGGTCATAAGTTGCCTTGATTTTCTCCAATTATGCAGATCTTGTACTTTAGTCAATATTTTTGTACTATTCTAATGAGAATGGTCAAAAACTTTATGATTTCATAATTACCCCTTAACCTACATGACAAATATGAAAGGTGTGATTTTTATGCTTCTATGGTATGTGTATTCTTCCTTACAATGCTGTTTTCTTTCTTCTCTTTTTAAATTTTTGTCCAAAACTTCCTTACCATGCTGTTTATATTGCCTATGTATGAACTTATGAAACCTAAAAATTAGTAGATCTTTGACTTCTAAACAAAATCATAATGCTGTCCCTTGCAAATTCTAGATAGTGATATGTTGAATTCATAAGCACTTGCATAAAGAAAATCATATTTGATAGGACGAACGCGATGCAATTTTAGCTCACTATTATTGAATTCAAATTGTGGCATGAAAAAAGAAAATGTAATTCAGTACGGCAGTCACGGATAACAAGGTTGCTTTGACTCTAACATTATGTGCACACTATACTCCACCAAATTAAGTAATTTCACAAAAAAAATGTAATTAGACAGATATAAAATGGATAATCCTCAAAGATGAAAGTGGTTTAGTAGGCAACACAAGTCCAAGATAGACAATTTGCTTTACCAAAAGAACCAAATAAAAAAAAAAGGATAATGACATAAATGGTCATTAAACTTTGGCCCAATGTGCACTGTGGTCCTTGAACTTTTAATTTATTCAATGTGGACCCTTAGATTTTTGGTATATGTTCACTGTAGTCCCTGAACTTGAATTAGTGGAATGACTACATTGAACATTTTCTTATAGTTCAGGGACTGAATTGAACATATACTAAAAATTTGGGGATGACATTTAATAAATTAAAAGTTCAAGGACCACATTGCACACTTGGCTAAAGTTCAAGTACTGTTTGTGTCATTTTCCCAAAAAAGAACAAAAAAAGAAAGCAAGTCCAAGATAGACATGGGGGGACGTATAAGATTAGGTGTGGGGGGGAAAACAAGTCATTCGGAACAATCATGAAAAATCCAGCTAAATGGCATGCCCGCAATCAAATTCCATGTTGACCCCAACAGCTGAGAACCCGTATACAACAAGCAGCTTCATCTCCATCATTTCAATGGACTGAACCAGATACAAACAAGCGTTTCTCAGCAACAGCTCAGTAATACTGCCAAACCCCTAGTTTGGTAAATGGGGTCAACCTAATAAAGGTAACAGGTTAAGCTTTTTCTGGGCCCTATGCTCTTTGGAAATGCTGGGTGAGAACAGGAAGGGGGAATGGAACTTTTGGAGCAGCTGAAGAGAAAGAGGGGGATTTCTTTGTTACTGGTCAACTAAACACAAAAAGGGGGGGATCACGTTCCCTAAACGTTTCAAGTCTCCGGTGTTGAATGAAATGCCAAAGCAAGTTTGGGGGAACAGCATCTTTGACTTGATCTAACAGAGACTCTACTTTTGGTCTTGAATTTTGGGCAATAGACAGATCAGTTCCTTTCTGCAGACACGAGGTAGAAAGTAAACCTTAAAGTCCTACCTGCATCACTAAGACAACCTTCATGTCGGGATCAATCGATGCATTTGCCTGGAGATCAGGTTTAGTTCTGATTATGTTACCTCAGCAAATAAATAAATGAAGAGATAGGATAAAACACAAATGGCCATAGGAGATCGTAGAGTGATTTATCATGAGCTATGCAGACCATCGGAGAATTTTCCGTTCATTATACTATCTAGAGTAAGCTCGTTTATGCATCTTGTATTGAGCGAAACTCGAGTCGGCATTAATTTCGGCATGGCTCCTGTATAACTACAAGGGAAACGACGATAAAGGTAAGGGCACCCTGCATTGTTCAGATCCAGAGATGATTAATCATTGACTAACAAGACAAATGATAACTTTTACTGTTAAGAACCTTGGTTTTCCCAACGTCAAATAGAAAGTAAAGATCAGATTCATTGATCCACGTTAAAAGAACGGCAAAGCGTTAAACTCTCTTTTCTATTGATCACAGTAAGTACATGATGCTTTCTTGCCCGCCCCCCCCCTTTTTCCCAAAAAAAAAAAAAGTACCTGGATGCATTCAATGACAAAGACACTTCCTCCTATTGGTTCTATTTATCTGAGAAAACGCCTGCAAAATTTCATAAGCTTACCTAAATTGCTATGCTTCTATGTCTACATATCAAAGAAGAGGAGGAAATTCGGTGAATTACATGTATTTCACGATATCACAGGTGGAATTCCATGTGGGGCGACTGCTGCTCTGCCAATCCCTTCAGCTTGTCCACGACTTTATGAGCGAGATCACTATAAGCTCTGGAAACAGCCGAATTGGGAGCCGATAATACAATAGGAAAACCTTCATCACTACTCTCCCTGATGTCTCCTTCCAACGGTATCTGAGGGCAGAGGGAAAAAGGAGTATGTTAACACTGAACAAAACATGATTTCATGTTAGCATCAGACTGGTTGACTCCAAACTGTGCTGCACCCCACATGGACTCACATATCCCAATGCATTTGTCTAGTATTCGACTTTTAAAACTTTAAAGTCTGCCATGAATGGACCTTAGACAAGGTTTTGGCCATCTCATGGCCAAAAACAAATTTAAGCTACCATACAAGTGCAAGATGCAGAATCCATATCTCGAGTATGCTCTGATCTTTATCCACATAATTCATCTGCTTGAGATTTGGTCATGTAGTCAACGTGAGCCTATCAACCCCATATTTTCCAAGTACATATGTAGACAGTTCAAGACTTCAGAAAAGTGAGATAAGCTTGTTAACTGGCTATGCTGATATGTGAATAAAAACTCTCCAAGACATGTGCAGACAACATATGCCAAGAAACTTATTATTACAATGAAGATCTTTTTTGCTTGACTTTGCAAGATTGAAAGGATCCATGATAATAAGAACATCTTCTATGTTCAACACTTCAAGAGACCAGCAAGGACATTTGTTAGTTAAATAAGCCAACACCCCTTAACCATAGAATCGAATAATAACTCAAAAGCAAAAAGGGGAGAGATCCTACAAAAGATTCACGTAATTTTATGTCTTAACAAAATTAAGGCATTCTTAAAATGTAATTTCAGAGTCTCTGGTGTGGCAGCACATAAGAGATATCACCATAATTAACATACCTCAGCAATACACTCCAAACCCATCTCATCGGCTGTCTTTCGAGCTCCCCCTTTTCCAAAAATGTATGAAGGTTCACCACAATGTGGGCATTTAAAGCAGCTCATGTTCTCTATAAACCCCAAAACCTGCAGGGAAAAAATCTATCACTACCTTCACAGGAAAAACTACTGCTAAAATTATGGCATCCCATTTAAATCAAAGAAAAAAAAATAAATTAAAACTAATGAAAAGATACTGTATTACAAAACTGACTGGAAGAGATAGACACATCTATATCAAACTACCCAGATTCAATCATGACGTCACAAGACAGTGTTGCAAGAAGCATCCAACTTGACCCAAACACATATCAGTTTGATACATGGAAAAATGCTAAATCAGAAAGGTCAAGACACAACAGCATAAATCAAATTGAGAGAATGACATAATGCCTCTGTATCAACCTACCCACTAATGTTCAATTACATTATGTACTCTGAATACCTACTTACACTTTCAGCAGATCGGACATTACATTTAGCATCATAGAAAGCCCATGTATCCAAATTAGACTTTTCACCTAATACTTTAGGTCCATTATTTTATACCATTAGGCACACACACACAGAGACCCTCATAACAGGTGAAATTTTATTAGAAATATGGCATTCTTTGGGCAAATGCACCATTCAACACCAAAATACCTTCATAGAGCAAAAATTGAGAGGCTGATGATCATTCACAAGTAATGCAAAATGTAGCTTTGAAGAGAACACAAGTTAATATCAGAAGTGCAACATGTAAACTGTAATTCATTTGCAAATACAAGATGAAAAGGTGTAATCACCCCTAGAACACATGGTGCACGTGAGTTTCCATTTCAACAACAAGCACTTGCATATTCTAGCATCACATGCATGACATGATCAATTACTACCAAAGCCATTACATTTCTTATCCAAGCTATGGAGAATTTTATCAAATGGCCCGCAACAATTGAGTAGGAAAAGATTATGCAAAAATCACAACTCCCCAAACTAATCAAACGCTTGGAGGGGAAAAAGCTTCTCTCCATTCACACAACTCAAATAAAGGCAGATATTCTAATGACCTTTTCATACTTCAAACAAATGGAAGACTGCTTCCTTTTTCATCGATCATACTTGCCAATTTGCAAACTCCAATTGATAAAACATTGATTTTCATCAGCCAAATTCCTTAGATTCCTTGTGATGGTAAAGTGAACCTTAAATGAATTACACAGATCACAAATATTGCATTTCATCCAACCAGACAAGACATCTAAAAATGATGAATTTACTGTAGAGTAAAAGATATTGTATTCATAAAATTCTGCACTCCCTGCATATACAGTTGTTCAAAAACCTGTCCAATTTCAACTCAACCACAATTCCTATTGCTGAATATTAGCCTATTGGTCCTCCCATCTGAGTTCGTACATGATGCTGACAGGAAGGCATAGGCAGCAAGCTAAAGAATAAGACAAAAGGGAATTGATGAAGGATTGGAAGATGTTCAATTGTTCATGCAAGGGAAGGTAAGATATCGAGAAGATATAATACACACAATACCGACTTCAAACATGCAGGAAGCTTTTCATAATGCCCAAAATTTTTCTCCAGACTTGAGTTTTATATCCAAGTCAAATCACCAGAAAAAGATAGCTACAGCTAGGACAATTGCACAGAGGTATGGGCAATATGGGTGAGAGAATCTGTCCAGCTTCATCTTTTCATTTTTACATAAAAGAAAAAGTAGATATCTGTAGACACTTCTGTAACGAAAATTCCCGAAATCCAACAATAGTTTCCTAGAAATTTTGAGAACATAATAATGCTTTGAATGTTTCAAATGGGGAATAGAGGAAACCTGAATATTATTAAGAACATTACGTGACACTTGTTTGGTCAGAAAAATAAAATAACATAAAACATGCCATATGAAATACAATGTCCAATTGCAGCCCTTTGAAAGTTCTTATTGAAAAGTTAAAATGTAAGCTGGAAAACTTCTCGAAAGCTAAATGCACAAACTCTAAAGAGAGCTTTCCCACATCTCAAAAACCATTTGAACAAAGATATGCAAAAAAATGCAAGTGATACAATAACAACGCTGTTCCCAAGGTAGCAATTTCTGTAAGTTACTCATGCTGTTTAGTAATTTTGCAAGTTCACTTTAAGCACACTACATAAGGATGGTCCAGAAAATGATCATACAGGAACTCGAACTTTAGCAAACATCCTAGCTCCCCTTCGAGCATCGATCAAGGCAACATCTTGGGGAGTTGAAACAATCAATGCACCTGCCAACACATAATGTAAGCTTATAAATGAACAAAGAAACAACAGAAACTATTGGTGTAACTTCCAGCATAAACATCAGAAATACCAGACACTTGACGTGCATCAAAATTATGGAAATGAAGAAATTTTTTTTTATTAAAACCTGTCGTAACAAAGAACTAGCTTTCAAGTCCGTGATATGTAATCATGCAGAACCATTTCATAGTAGAATAAAACCATATCAAGACCTTAATGGAGCAGAATACAAATAAATCAAGTAAAAACTGAAATTCTGAATTGAAGATTTCGATTTTTTGAATTGGTCCCTACTGGAATTAGAACCGAATTGCTTTTCCATTTATCATATCTGCCTCAAGCATGAAAGAGATTCTTTTCTATACTTTAGCATTCACATTGATATGCAATCTTACACAGACATTTGTGCATATGCTTATACACAATGCAAATATTTGAATGTAAATGTGGGTGTGCCATATGCAATCTTACACAGACATCTGCGCATATGCTTATACACAATGCAAATATTTGAATGTAAATGTGGGTGTGCCAGTGTATACATTGGGAGTGCATGCATGTATCTATTCAGATATATATATGCACTTTCAATTACTCAAAGAAAAAAAAACACGTGGATGTAAATTCTGGTTGAAGTGAAAACCCTCTGTGGCTCTGAACAATTAGTTGACTCCAACAGAACAATAATGGAACTTGACATATCAATATATTCTAAAGGGCCCAAAAGAAAGCACTAGCTTAGCCATTGACAGCCACAATCAAATGGGAATGCAAAACTCTGGCGTGGGCCAATAAGTTCTTCTTTTTGGCTCAATTACTCTTCAACATTACCCAGCCACCTTAAATATACTTCTGAATGATTTTCTTCCAATTGCGTAATTTTAGCTTTGGCCTTGAAGTACCATTAGTTTTACCTCTATAAAGGATGAGGCGAAAAATAAACAATTGTCTCTGCAATTTCCCTTTTCTCCCCTCCAATATAAACGAAGGGGGATAGGTACAGCTAGACCTGATGCTATATACCATGGAACGCCTGGCACTACCACTGATCCAATACTCAACATCAATAACCAAGGTTTTCTGATTAGCTAAATTAAATTTGATGTTTATCAGATTACCTGATAACTGTAGCCTTTGCGTCATACTTATTTGTGTATCACCCGTGCCTGGTGGCATATCCACTACAAGAATATCAAGATTTCCCCAATGGACTCCCCTTGTCAATTTTTCGAGAGCATTCATTACCTGCAATAAAAAAGATTCAGTATCTTTTACAAGCTAAAGCTGTGGAAAAATGTAAAATGTACAAAAAGCTGCAATCACCAACCATGAAGGATTATAAATGCAGTAATGAGTATAAAGGTCCACCAAAACAAAGCAAGTTCCCCAAGATCAACTATCCTAAATTTCAAAAACTCCACCAATGGTATACTTTCTGAAACCAAGAATCTTCAGTACATCCAATAACTGTGGCTAAAAAGAGGATAAATGTGACCACTCAAACTGCCCCTAACATGCAGTGATACTTACAATCAGCCTATATACGATAGTTGAAGGATCATAGCCAGATCAGATTCATCCAGTGACAAAGCAAGAGTAGATATTCTTGTGTATCTACTGCAATTCTAGAGAGGAAGCGCCTGTCAACTAAGAATTTCTCTTTACTTTGCAAAATGTCAATACTTAAACCCTGCTTTAGTAGCTCTCCATGCATGCAAAAGATGAAGCTTTGGGAGCTACCGATCTCTTCCACCTAAGTCCAGGTGTTGTAGGTTGCCTTACTGTCTGGGGAACCACTTTTGGGGGAAGATGACTGAATTGATGCCTGAACATCTTCAGAAACAAAGACTGGAATGTGTAAAAGTCATATATGGTGGCTACAAAGGAAGCCATCTTTAATGGCAATCGGTACATCATTTGACAACAATTCACGATCAGATTTCACACAGCCCTTTCTCTTCGTGAGACCACCAGAACATGTCAACATTTCTGCTATGAAGTAAGACAGGAAGTCCCTAAAAAATTACTACCGAAAGTTTGGACCCAGACATCTCACGCAACATTTTAGAAGCATATATTCAGCTAAAGATGCAAAATCTATGCAAGAACCGAAGATCGTGTTCCTTTACTGAGCATAACAGAGGGAAATATTGTCTTTTGGAATCTGTTATCTGCACTCTGCACCAGTTGTCTTCAGATAGCTGAGTACAAACAGAATGAAATACCAAACATTTTCTCTGCATTTCATATACTGCAATCTTTGAGTTTTCAAACTCCTACCCCCAACCCAAAGCCCTCGAATCCACGCCGCATAAGAAAAGCCAAAAGGGGGCTGGAGCAGGTGCTCTTTCAATCACCTATCTGTTTCTTTCACTGCCATCCTTTTATCCAGCAGAAAATATGGGCATCATAGTAATAAGATATCATTTAGATGGCTTACAGAAAATCCAATCAAAACATCTTCTTTTAAAAGAATTTTGAACGGATAGATCGGACAATATGCCGTACCATAGGACCTCTCCATACGATTGGTGCATCCTTTTCAACAAGCAAACCCATTGACATACACTTGACCGCATACATCTCAATAGGAATCATCTTCTTATCTGCCAAATAATATGAGGGGATTAATATGCACGAAAAAATATTCTGGACACCTATGTCATGTTAAGATGATAAGTATTTTATAAGCAGATGACAAAGAAAAATTAAGTTTGGAACTGCGATAAATCAACAAATATGTCAAAAAATTGCAGGACAATAGGATAGAGAAGCATTATTCCTTCTTCTAGCTCTCAATCTTAACTTACCTAGAAAAGCAATTTTGTTGCAACCGTGATGTACCCAATTATTGAAGTTAAAGTCCATTTTACCCACAGTTACATAGAAGAAAAACAATAAAGAGTTCCTGATAAAATTACTTTATATGTAAGCTTTAGAATTTCAACTTGAGATGAACTCTATGATCTTTGAGTTTTACACCGCTATGGAGAAAATTCAAAAATGTTAATTGCATACCTTCAGTCACATCTGGCTTCTCATGTATTTGCATCATAATGGGAACAGATGGTCCATAAATATCAGCATCTAGCAAGCCCACCTTGAGTTGACACATGTTAGCAAGTGCAACAGCCAAATTAACTGCAGATATATTGGTATTAGTTAGCTATATGCATTATAAACAATACAAATATTCAAACTTCATTTAGCTTAGTATTTAAAAATTAGGACATGACCCACAACTCCTTACTGCTCTTCAATTTAGGCCCTGCTTCTCTCTTTGAATGAACATTTTATAGTCCCCATGCTACAGAGTGTGCACCTTACTTCTTATTACCTATGAACTTATCTGTATTGTGAAAGACACAAAGACACTTAGCATATTTTTCATCGTTAAGGTCATTATTTCATTTCCAAATATTGTATGTAGGAGAGCCCCTCCCTACTACAAGCTCATAAAAAACGTTGAGTGAACCCCAATCCACAGAAAATGTATAGCGCAATTGGCACAGAGTCATATGTCTCCTAGTAGCAACTCACTTCAAAGCATTGGAACAGGACATCCTTTAACGGACAATAAATTATATACTGTATAGATCAGACAAAAAATGCTATTAAGCTGACTATTGTGTAACAATCTATTCCTTGCATACCAAATGTGATAGTAGTAAGCATTCCAGGCCAACTTTCCATTAATAGTTTCAAATGTTCTTCTATTGAATGTTTTAATAGCCCAATCCAACTCATCCTGCCAGCAGTGAACTTGCCTACTGAATCTCAACAACATCAAAACTTCTTTCTAAACAGCAATAGAAAATAAGCAAGCACCACACATATTATGACTGGATTCATCACAAACCCTGCACAAGAGACAGTTAACATGGATATTATCAAACCAAGCACCACACATATGATCACAGCTTTTTAATGACCGGAGAATTCTATCTCTAAGCTTGTATTGTCGTATCCATGCTATCCAAAGAGAACTCCCTTGCATAAAAAGCAGCCTAATACACTTCAGAATGCATCTTTCACTCCAATGAAAGAGGCATTTTAGACCAACTCCTCCCTTGTATTTTGATAGACAAATCTGAGTCCATTTGACTCTTGCCCCTCTGGCATTTTCAGCATGCCCTCTCCATAATATAGAGATGCAAAATTTTTTGATTTTCTTGAGCATTTTCTTAGGTGGAATGAAAATATTAAAACAATAAGATGAAGTACTTTGAATAACAGACAAAATAAGTTGTAGTTTTCCAGCGTAACACAATTTCCTACAGGCCCAACCACAAATCTTTAAAAAGTTTATATGTCAGGATTACATTGCTCTTCATTTGATCTACCAGAGGTCAGGGGAATACAAAAGTATCTCACAGGTAAAGAGCCAAGTTGAAGTCCACTAATACAAAGAAATCACTGTAACAAAGCATCAGGAATACCTGCTACAAAAACTCAGTTGTTAAAGGGTTCAACTTCAAGCCAGACATTATATAGAGCTCATTGAAAATGCTAAAATTTCAGCAAAAGAAGAGTCTCCATACAGTATTAACATCAAATCGTCAGCAAAGCATAAGTAAGTCATTCTGATTGTGCTACAAAGAGGATGATGCAATGTGATTTTCCCTTCAGTGGCTGCATTCTTACATTCAAAGTAGAATCTTCATTGCTGGAACAAAGAGGTAAGGAAAAAGAGTACCCCCTTGCCTCAAACTTTTCTCCCCTCACCATTAAGCATACCAGAGAGTTCAGAAGATCTGATGCAACTTTCAGTCCACTATATAAATTTAGCAGGAACATGAATAACTTTCAAGAAACATAGCTGTAGAAATCCCAATATGTAGAACAGAAGGCTTTCATGAGATCACCCTTATTGTGCATGTAGCCCTGGGAGAAAGGTTCCTTCTACGATAGTTCTCAACAACCTCGCGTGCTAAAAGCACATTGTCCCAATTCTCCTCCCTTATATAAACTGAAAAACTCAGACACAATCTTTTTCAATCTGTTAGCAAGAATTTTACTGCTGTATCTTATACAATATTGTAACAAGAGATTGGCCTTATTCAGTTATTCTGGAAAGTTTGACTGTTTTAGGCACAAGGGAAATCACAGTTGCATTCACTTGACCAAGCAGAATCAAGTGCTTGTAAAAATCACTGTCGGATTCAATACAAAATCCATGCCCACTATACCCATTCATACCGGAAAAAATGACCAGTATAACCATCAGGCCAGGTGTTTATTCCCATTTATTTACCAAAAACAAAAAGATTTATTTTTTAGTTTCAATGATGGGGCTCAACGACATGACTTTTGCAGCATCACCAATATCATGTTATATGAAATCTTTCACCCCTTGCACAAATTTTTTATCAACAGAACCAAACAAATGCTGATAATAATTGATTACTTCAGCTTTAATGTCAAGATAAGCAGTAACTCTCTCACAGTCATCAGAATATACTATATGAAGGGTACCCATGGGTTGTCTAGCCTTAACCACATTATGAAGTAACAAGTATTTTGATCTCCCAAGGCAAGCTAAGAAGTTCTTGATATCTGCCTGCGGACTCTGCAGAAAGTTGCTTTTCAAGCTGTAATTGCCCAAAAGAACCAGATAATATTGGGTTTTGAACCATCACAAATTCCTGAGATTTCTGCTTCCAGAGCTTCTGAGGTATTACTACAATAATTCCTGTTAAACTCCTTTAGAACTTATTTCAACCTTTCCAGTTAACTGCAGAACTCAACCACGGAGCTGGGAAAACTTGGAGACCAACTTCCTTTAACAAGAACACGATCAAGTCTCCTCTCCCTATGAGCTAAAATACTTTATTACTCTAAGTAATGAAATTATTACCAAAATTGATGAACAAAGAGACCTGTATCTTTTAGCACATTGTTAATAGCTATCATATCAGCAACAAAAAGATTAAGGATTGCAAACCAACCAAGTGATTGGTCGAGTAGTCCAAGCTTGGTTTGCAAGCCAAAGGTCACATGTTCGATTTGTATCTATTATCGGTCTCAGGAAACTGTGGTAAGTTTGTGAAGGAATGGGCTCGGGCTTTGGTGTATCACCAGTCTTGGCCTTCCCCACTCCCACCTGGTGAAGCTGCAGTGACAGGCTCGCCCAGTGGATAGTTGGTACTTTGTTGGCACCTTACACCGAACATTCCAACAATGGGTGAGGAAGGTCCCAACCCATCCAAACCCTTTGTATTTAAGCAAAAAAGAAGGAATAAAGGATCACTAGCCTCCCTTTTATCAGCGGTAGTAGTAAAATCTCCTATTACCACTCCAGCTTCAGTATTTACAGAATCAGAAAAACTGCATAGAGCACTCTGAAGAGAAGTCTTGAAGATAGCATAAGTTCCAATGAAAGCTACATCGTACAAAAGTAGCACAATTGCTTTTGGTCAATCCTCTGCAATCATGAACATCGTCATCTTGGGAGCATTTGGGTGTTGTAGGATGACTATGTTAATATTCAGCTTATTGCTTCCAGTGTGCAAGCTCTTCAATGTGAGATTACCATTCGAGCCATGCAAATCAATGTGCAGATAGTACAAATCTCCTATTTAATCCCTCGACATCCAATCAGTTTGCACAGCAACCCATTCCTTGCCTTCCAGCATTGGTGGAGACTCGTGGTGACTACTGAGTCCTAATTTCTCCACAGTTTCCATCTTTTCCCACATTCACTTAAAAACAAAACTGAAAACTAAGAATCAGTTCACTACTGCCTCCAATCTAATAACACTGCACATGAGGATCAAAATTTCACTGACTTTTTATATTAAATCAACGACATTTTACTAAATCAACATGACCATAGTACTACCAATCCATAGAAACAGAGCACCATCAATCACAATCGTCCAAAACAAAAGTGCACCACCAAATCCCGAACTATATCAAGAAACAAAAGCATCTGGCATGTACCTGCGGTGGTGGACTTGCCGACGCCGCCTTTACCGGAGGCCACAGCGATGATATCCTTGACCCCATCAAGCCTGAGCTCGCCTCTACTCGAAAAAGCCCGAAAGCCTGCATACCCCTACACCAATGGCAACGAAATTGAACGGTACCCATCAGCAGCAAACTCAACAACCGCTTGGATTTGAACAACGGAGCCAGAGAGAGAATATATGACGGTGGAGAGAACTCACAGAAAGAGATCGCAATAGACCCTTCATCGGCAAGGAGATACGAGATTCTTTACCATGAAAAGATTTCTCATTGGAGAGGGAGAGAGAGAGTACGTTCTTCACCAGGAACCAGATTTTTCGCTGCGTTCGTCAAGCATCGGGCTTCGATTAAGTAACGCTGACGCTTCAGTCTTCTTCAACCCTGGCCTATGGTAAAGCTGAGTTAGTTCTATTAAGAAGAAAAAGCAGGTGGTGAAGCCGGGGATGCTGGACCCCCAATGGGCACAATCACTCCCTGTTGCATGAAACATGTCATCGAACTGATTGATCCAGGGACAAAAACATGGAACGAAAACCAGTTGTGTGAACTCTTCAAAGAGGACATCGCGAAAGAAATACTTGCCATACGGATCAAGCCGAACCCAAAAAGGGATAACAGCTATGGACGGGAAACACAACACGGGAGTACACGGTCAGACATGGGTACACCTAGGCATGGCCACGGGCCAATTTCGGCCTGGAACAGGTCCGGTCAAACCCGGGCCCAGCCCGTTGACTGGGCCCGCGGTTCGGAACCGGAACAGGGCCCGTAGGCCACGGGCCCGGTTCCAATTCCAAAAAAAAAATAGAAAACCTGCGGCAGGGCCTGCACGTCTGCAGGCCCATTGCTAGGGCAGCCTTTGTAGGCTGCCTTGGCAACGGGCAAAAAAAAAAAAAAAAGATAACCGTTGCAATTTGCAACAGTTATTTAGCCTTTTTTTTTTCCTAAATTTTCTTCTCATTTTTTTTCTTATAAATTCTCTCAAATTCTCTCAATACTCTCAATTCTCTCAAATTCTCTTCTCTCAAATTTTCTCAATACTCTAAATTCTCTCAAATTCTCTCAATTTTCTTAATCCGCGCAATTCTCTCTTAATTCTCCCAATCAATCTGCTCAATTCTCTCAATTCACTCGAAAAATGGCAAGTGGAAGTCAAGTGCCAACTGGCAAAGGTAAGAATATCATGACGGAATCCCATCATTCTTTTGATCCTCGTGATTATGCAGATTTTCAAGATGATGAAATCAACATTTTTCCTGATGTGGAGCGCGTCCCGACGCAAGAAAGTCTTCATCCTCATGCCCAAATGTCTACAACAAAGGAGGCGGAGCGGGAACTTACATCTGACATTTGGGACCACTTCACGAAAACGGAAAGGTTTGATATTGGTCAAAAAAAGTATGATATAATTTGTAAACATTGTGGAAAAATATATAAATATACCGGTGGACAATAATATGGAACATTCAAACGACATCTTAGGAGCAAACATTCAACCCAAGCGGGAATCGATATCAAGCAACAACAAATTTCCGGGTACGTCAATCTTAACGCTTCTCCTTTATTTCGTTTTAATGAAAAAACTTATAAGGAAGAATTAGGTAAATTTGTTTCCGTTGAGCATTTATCATTTAATTTTGGAAAAAGATTTGGTTTTGATCAATTTGTACAAAAAGCATGTGCTCCACAAGCAAAATGTGCTCCTAGAAATTCACTTAAACAAGTAATTAAAGATCTTTACAAAAATGAAAAAAAAGATTTACAAAACTTTTTTATGCAATTTAATGGATGTGTTCATATAGGTAGTGATATTTGGAGTCATCATTGGCAAATTCATTCTTAGATGGGCATAACATGTCATTGGATAGATGACGATTGGAATATTCAAAAAAGAGTCATTGCATTTAGAGTTTTCGATAGTAAGCATACGGCAAATAATATTTATAGAATAATTAGGCAAATTTTAGAAGAATATTGTTTGCTTAACAAAATTTTTTCAATTGGTTTTGATAATGCTGCGGCAAATACCGCTTCAATTGCCGATTTAGAAAATATTTGTAAATCCACTTTTGGTAGAAAATTTTTTCACGTTAGATGTGATTATCATGTTTTAAATTTATGTGTACAAGATGGTTTGAAAACTCTTGATATTTTTCTTGAACCAATAAAAATGGCGATTCAATTTTTATGGAAACATCCCCAAAAAATGAAAGAATGGGGTAGATTTTGTAAAGCAAATGAAAAAAGGCCAAAAAGATTTCCAAGAGATGTTCCAACTCGTTGGAATTTTACTTTCCACTTGCTTAGTGAATCTTTTGCATATAAAGATTTATTATGCGCATTCATTTCTAATAATATACCTCAGATTAATTTATACCTGCAAGAGTGGGATATTTGCAAATTTTTTTTAGATATTTTAAAGGTTTTTAATGATGCAACTTATGCTTTGTCCGGTGTTTATTATCCTACTACGCATTTATTTTTAGTAGAGTGTATTAATATTGTCGGAGTTTTTGAGGAATATGAAAATGATGTTGAATTACAAAATATTATAGTAACAATGAAAATGAAGTGGCTGCATTATTATAGCGAAATTCTCATTATTTATTTAGTTGCTTGTGTTTTTTATTCGCGTTGCAAATTAGATGGTTTAGGTGAATATTTGCATATGTATTATCAATGTTTACATTATGATACGGTAAATGTTACAACTATACTAAGGAAGGTTAAAAACGTAGTAGTAGAATTATATAATGAATTTTATACTAAATATAATTTAGATGATATTGGATCTTCTCAATTTACCGAGACACAAAGTGAGAGTACAGGTAAAATTAGTAGAGGGTACCAAATTTTATTACATAGACAAAAAAAGCAAAAGGAAGTAATAGGAAATATTTCTGAATTAGAGATGTATCTAATCGTTTCCTTTGAGTTTACTGAATCTAAAGGTGATGTAGCTAGCAAGGATCACCTAGAGGGGGGTGAATAGGTGATCTAAAACAATTTTTAGTAATTTATGCGGAAACAAAATAAATCACAGAAGAGTCTGAATAAAATTCAGATTCAAGACAGATTATATGGATTGTCTCTTGATGTGCGAGAATGTAAAGTAAGAGATAAGGGATAGAGAATCGCACACAAGTTTATAGTGGTTCGGCTTATAGCAAGCCTACGTCCACTCTCCCACGCTTACTGACCCTCTTGGTGGATTTCACTATGTAATCAAGAGGAGTTACAACTTCTGAGTGTTTACACTCTTGTGTATGATAGGACTCTCTATCTCACACAATCACTCTTACAAAGTGTTCCTCAAGATCTTAATATTTGGCTCGGAATGACAAGAGAAAAATGATTGGATTAAGCTCGGACTTTGGACTTGTTGATTCTTGATTACGTACTCCTTCGCTGCTCGTTGATCTCCTTAAATACTCCTCTGCTTCCAAACTAGCCGTTGGACGACTTTCGGAGGATCATCTTCCAATCTTTACCTTGGACAGATTTGTATAGTAAGGATTGAGTAGCCGTTGGTTGACGGTTCGAATCCCGCGATTCTGGTCGCCCATACAATCGAATCTTGGTTTCCATAAGTAGAACTTTGTCCGTTGTAATGCATTCTTGTCATGATGTTTGATTGTCAATCGGTTTGATTCGATTGAGACAATCGAACATTCCTTCGTGAAATCCATGCCGGATCACTAGCCGTTGTGTTACATTACGATTCGTGCATCGGAAGAACTCCTGCGTCTGCGTCGAAGAATTTCGCGTCAATAATTTCTTCTTACGCATCTGCATCTCGAATAACTTCAGCTGCATCTGAATAACCTCGCCGAATCTCGGAATGCGATTATGTGGGTCTTCGAAATATACTTGACATTGTAAAGTCGAATAACTTTCTTCCGAGCTTCGATATACGGACTGGAATAGTTCGGAATAAGTATCGATTTACAATAACATAGAAGGTTTTGTCAACTTCAAAATTAATAGGAGTTTTCCTCAACAATCTCCCCCTTTTTGATGGTGACAAAACTTTCTTTGCAGATTGAATTATTTTAAACATATTAAGCTCAATAAACACAGATTGAAATAGCAAACTCTGTTGATATCTGTGTCTTTCTTCCTGTAAATCTGCAATATGATTTCTCCCCCTTTTTGTCATCAACAAAAAGAATAGTAATAGATAGAATAATGCATTGATATTAAGTAATCAATCAGTCTAACAATAAGTATGAGAAATATTACAGACCAATTGAAAAAAATAGAGAGAAATGTTGAAAAACAGGCTATTTTTTAGGAGTACGAATCAGTTGAAAATTTTCCAATATTGAGACAGCCTCCTCAATCTTCGAACTGCATTGACATATGGCTTTATCCATGCTGGATGAGCACATAGCAATGGCTCCTTCTAATTCCGCTTTGTCTGCTGCTTGAAGTTGTTGAGCCTTGGTGTTTTCCTCAACAATTTTCGTAGGTTCTCGCAAATTTTGCTCTAGAGCGGCCTGCTTGTCCTTTATCTCGAGCGAGAATCGAAAGGATGTTCGATTTTCAGAATGCGACCTTGGTCATTAGCTTTTTCGAGATCGATTGTACCTACTGCATGATTCGGTGGAATCTCCCCGAACAGGTGATTGTTCTTGAGTAACATGCTCTTCATGAATTGGTTCTCAAACATTTGAACGGTTCGGGAACATGTTCTGGTTCTGCAGTGTGACCTGATTCAAAGTGTGCTGCTTCTGCTTCATCATTTTCATCATGCAGAAGAGTTTTTCTTTTCTTTCTGTACACTTTGATTGGGGTTGGAGAATCAGTTTGCTTGCTTGCTGAACTAGTTCTTTTCCTTTGCTCCTTTTCTTTCTGAACTTTCTTGCCAACAGATTTGGCCTCTGACTGTTGAGCCTCTTTCCTTTTTACTATGTCCCTGATATCTTCAAATTTCTTCATTTTGGAGAGCATTTTTTCTCCAACAAACATAAGGGGAAGCATAGTTTCTCGCAACTCACCAGGAATAGATAAATTGAGATACATGAAGATACGAGTGATCAAAGCTCCATATGGCAGATGACCCTTATCTTTCTGCAATGCTCTGTACATATGGAATATTATGAGGTGAGGAAGAGAGAAGGATTGACCTGTCAAGATAGCCCAAATGAGCTTGATCTCTGATTTCGAAAGGTCAGTTTTTGAGGCATCCTTTGGCTTTAAACAGTTGATGATGATCTTATGCAGGATCACCGATCGTCTTGATAAGTCAGAATAGGAGAGATGTCTTTTTGATCCTTGAGCAAAATTTGGATTTTCAGAAACTAGCTGAGAAGTCTCTTCAAGACTTACTGCCAATGGTGTAAAAGTGGAGTGTGTGGCTCCAATTATCCTTGCCAACTCATGCGCCTTTAAATCAACTTTCTTGTCACCAATAGTAAACTGTAACCAGGTTTGGTGACAGAATTGAAAGATTCGAATAAAAGTAGGCAGTCAATTCAGCATAAGTGTTGGCAGATTGAAGGCAAAATTCATAAACCCCTAGTTTTTCAAACAGGTTCTGTACAGAAATTCCAGCCTTCTCCAAATACTCGAAATCCACAGTTCTATTGTTCATTACTCC